AGAGTTTCGGGTTTAGAGTTTAGGGCCTGCAAAGCAGAATCCCATGACACCGGAGACCTCCACCCCACCCCATGAACACTCCGTTCATGAACATCACCCTGCCTCAGGCTCAGCGCAGACATTCGTCCGAAGACGTCTCCCTTGCCCAGACGGGGAAGATCCTGGAAGCTCTTCGACTGACCGTAATTTCGATCATCTCACCGATGCTTTCAAACGTTGTGCCACGTTTTATAAATTTACCATGGTTGTCTTCGTTGTCACTGTTGCTACGACTATGTGCTGTCACTACTGTAACGGTTACGCGTGCTTACCCCAGCTATCCCAGTTGCTTCTGCTATGAAACTAACCCCGGCAGAAAAACGGCACGATAAGACATAAGGCTCCTGTATCAATGACGTTTAGACAGTCGCCACTGATATCTTTACTTTCGCACAGACACATCTCTGATAGAGTGCTGCAAAGTTCGTGACATTGAACAGAAAACGTAAAGAAACCATTGCAGGCTGCACTTGTAGATCCATGTTGAAACAACTTCCAAAGCACCCTGTGTGCAGTCAGTGTTATTTTGCAACCACAGACAGCGTGAGTCCGATCACCAGCAGCCACACTCCCAACACGAATGGTGAGGACGAGGGCTCCTATTTATGGTTCGGTGGGATGCTCTACTTGCAGACTTACTTACACTCTCTGTACTTGAGTCCTAGCTTGAAGCGAAGAAGATTGATCCTCTTCTCCTGTGGGCCTGAACCAATTCTGCAGGGGCAAGCTGGCCTTACCGTGGCTCACGGGTTTGGGCCCAGGGACCCCCCTCCTAAAACGGAAAAATCCTCAACCCGTCCTTTTTGCCGACACCGATCACACGCACCGAACCTGGAGGCGAAACAGTCTTCGGCTCTCCGTGCTGCACGGAATGCACACGCTAATATAGGCCTTAATGATTAGAATAGGGTTGTGGGGCCCAATATTTATACCATAATTCTAATAAGGAAGCCCCAAAGTAATATAGGTAATTATTCAGGCCCTTACATTAGCCCCCAGCCGGCTGCGCAGCAAGGAGCAACTTTCTCGGGTAAGATGTTCTGCTTACAGCAGTGTGACATCGTTCCAGCAACGTATCACTGCATTCACATTCGAGGACTGATGTTTTCGCATGCCTGTCTCGCTTCCGGGTTTAGACATCTCAGTTCTGTACTGCCCGAAAAGAGATCTTCTGCTTGCTACATCCCGCATCCCCGGCAGTGGAACCGTTTTGTTTTCTGGCTGATGCATGCTGCTGCATGTCGTTCTGGCTCTCTCTGCATCCCCGGCCCTGTCTATGAGCCCCTGTGACGGGGCCCCCCTCTCTCTCTCTCTCTCTCTCTCTCTCCTCTCTAGTTCTCTTGTTCTGTTTTCTCATGTTTCGTTTCCGACTTTCCATGAACATATATTTTGCTGTTTCGATCGCCATCAAAGGGAGAATTGAGTTCGCACCGGCAGAGTCACATCTGAAGCCGAGTGGCCGCTCATAACCATCTGAAGGGAGCGAGAGCAGTACTTCTTGTTCAGCTCCCAAATGAGCCTGGGAAGCAGCATGATAAAGACATCCTCTACAACTGTCAGCCCTCGCATGCATCACACAAGTCTTGCACTGCGGCATCCTCCAACCCCAAAGGGCCCGAAAGAATAAAATCGGCAGGAGGCTTCCCTTCGGGGTAGAGCCGTGCTTCCAGATGGCCTGACAAAAACCTTAGTCAAGCCGGGCGGTGCAATTACGGAAAATCACTGCTGAGGATGACCCGCTTCGAAATTAGGATTCTCGCATACCACGTCAGCGAGATCTGGCTTCTTTCTCACGTTCGGAGCTTGAGGGTTAACAAATTTGGCATCTCTGGCACTTTTAACGTCAGGAATCATTTCGCATTCAAAGCCCCTTTGGGCCGCCCCTCTGACAGAATTTCAGAACAGCCCCTTGCGGACCTAAGTCCAGGCTAGAGCCTCAGTTCCACACCACAATCTAAGGTAGAACCCATGAGCCCCTAACATGGGCCCTTAGGGGATTCTAGGGCCTATTATGGGTATATATAGGGTATATAGTCGGTATATTAGGATCCCAGGGTTAGGGGCCCATACTAGGGGCCCATGGGTTCTACCTTAGAGACAAGGAAACATCGCACCTGTAACTTGGGTCAACACCTACCTTCGGATACTGCGCTAATCAGCTTGTGGAGTCATCCGGGAAGAACTCCGGGCTAGCATCAAGCGGAACAGCAAGGAGCCGCAGGAATGTAGCAATGCAGACGCAGGTCGAACAGATAGGAAAGAAGGCCTAAACCGTTCCAAGACAAAAAGCCCGAAGAAAGGAGCTGGGCTTGACTATGAAGCGTGAGCACTGTATGTACCAGGTATACGTGTATGTATGCGCGTATGTACATGCATGTATGTATGTCCGTACGTACATATATCTGTGTGTGCATGCAAGTCGGGGTAAGGACTCACGAGCCGTGTGTGGACGCCAGGCTGCTGAAGGAATTCATCACTGCAGCCTGCTGAGATGAAGTCCATGAGCACGCTGGCCTGCAGTCAACTGAGCGAGAGCAAACAGGAGAAGTCTCAGGCTTCAGAGCCGAAATCCCTGGCAGGATTTAAGAGTATTGATAGATTTACGGTTCAGGTTTCTGGTAGGGCTTCGGGCTTTTAAGGTTTTCGTGGGACTATCTACCTGGTATGGTCAGAGACAAGAGGAACGGGCCTGCTCGGCGCTCGTTTTGTGGACCGTCTTCTGGAACATCTGCAGAAGCATGCTGCCTGGTGGCGTATGGGCACGCAGGCGGCGTCGCAGGGCCCAATTTAGCCAGTCATTGACCTGTTGGGTTCGGACCCAGGGTTGTCTGCTACATAAGCGCCGCAGGACCACTCTGTGACCTTTCTTGGAATCTTCGGAATTCCCGATGACCGACATCCTCAACCCGGGACCTTGAAGCAATGACGGGCCGTGGCACTGTAGACCTCCATGTCGGTGTCCCGGGCAACGTGCAAGACCATCTCACGGTTGAGAATCCTGCAGAAATCTGACAGAGTCGTGGGTCGAGACGCTGCGCCGTGCACATGTAACAACATAACTCTTGGTCAGGCTTTCAAGTAGAAGTCAGGGCAGCGGTATCTGCCTCACTCACGCAACATGCAGCAGTCTTGGTGTCGCAGGCATCACGAATGCAAGAGAAGGTGTGTGTGGGAGTTTAGGACATGACTGAGCACTAGATCTTGATGCTGGGTGTTGGGATCTTGAAACATGCAGGGTTTAGACTTGCGAAGACATAGTTAAGCTTGTCCATTGATGCATCCGGACCGAGAACTGGCCAACACTAGCACTGTGCTACTCTGGTACTGCTCAATACTCTCTCGATTTCATCATCCGTACCAGCACAGGACCATGGATTGCATGGTCGGTGCAACATGCGGGCGCAGACGTCGACACATGAAAATGTCACATGCCGAAAGGTACAAACATGGCCGCATCCTGCGTTCCGAATATCCAACGCATGCATGCTTGCATCTACGCATGTGCATGTATGTATGTATGTATGTATGTATGTACGTACGTATGTACGTATGTACGTATGTATGTATGTATGTATGTTGCATGAATGCCTACCTTCACGAACAGCCGAGCCTGCATACACACGGAGTCAAAGCTTTGACGGCCTGGGCATGTGCACAGTTGTGGACACACTGGCTCTCACATCCAATGCAGCCAACCCTAAACCCTAAACACTAAACCCTAAAGCGTAAACATAGGTCCCAAAGCCGTGGCAACCTGGCCCAACTTTACACGCAGCATCTTTCGGACAGGCTGATTCCTCTCAGCTTCCTTCGAACTCGCGGGTGGAAATACAAGCTCGGAGGAGCCCCAGACCCCCCCAACTAGCAGCAAATAGCGACTGCTATCGTGGACGAATTCATGATCGAAGGGTACGGAGTCTATGCAGCGACTTGGAGTTCCCGGGCAGGTGACAAGTAACCACTCACTTGTCCCACGATTGGGTGAAGCTTAAACAAATCTGCGCCGCGAACGTGCTCGTTTCAGGCTTTTGAGGGGGGTCAACCCCCCAAACATTCGGGCAAAACCAGCAGATGAAGCACAAGACATCCTGTGGGCGTTCCGAAAGATATCCTTGCAAACGGCCAACAGCAGGTAATCACCCTCTCGATGACGTTGACAACGAGACCGGGTGCCAGAAATCGAAACTTCCTTTAGACTATTACTTATTCCATTGCTGCCGCTAAGGTTGTCACCATGTCAGTGCCATTGTTGCTTCTTCCTCAACATAGCTTTTTCGATTCCGTGTTATTCGACATGGAACCAGAAGCCAGAAAGCCCCAAACTATAGTTCAGGCAAGCTACAGTCTTCCGCACAGGGCTGAGTCCCAAGAACTCAAGCTCGCCAAAGCAAGCCGGCCGGTCATCCTCTTCTACCTGCGCTTTCCGCTGTAGGCATATGAGACAAGGAAGAACGATCGAGACGGGAAGCACGGCAGGAAAAGCCAAAACGGGGGTATCCGGTAGCACTACCATGTTCAGAAAGAATGGTGGGTGAAGTCGTCAACGTAACAGTGTCAGAAATTCAGGAGCTCGAAGGGAGGGAAAGCGGAACAAAAAAGAGAAGCAACGAGCAAATTGCTTAGCTTAGTTGAAGCCTGGTGTCTGGGCACAACACATCTGTTCGGTTCGGTTCTGTGCGCTGAACATGGAAACCGACATGACTCCTTTTTACACAGGCTTGATCAGTGCTCGCCCGGCCAGAATCCACGTGGCACATCACACTCATGTCCTAAGCCTCAAGCCTCAAACCCTAAATCCTAAGGCACTAAGTCACTAAGTTTAACTCTGCATAACTACCGCCTGCTTCCCTGCCCCAAATGTCCGTCCATCAGGTAGAGGGCCGATCAAAACCCTCTTTTTGTTTGTTGTCGCCCCTTTTCCTCTTAGGGTTTAGGGAGTATGGCTCGGCACTATGCTTTCGAACTGAAATCCAGAACTGAGCGCGCTGGGGCTTGTCGCTAAACACGACGCTCATTCATCGCCTCCTCTTCTTCACCATCATCGTCTGACATCATGTCTGATCTCAGTCGAGCCCGCCCGCCAATGTCGTCCTGCACGCAGGCTGCATTTCAGGATATTCCTCACGAACTAGAGAACTCAAACTGTGCTGCTTGGTAGCAACATTATCATGTGGTTGGCACCCCAACCACAAGCGGCAAACTGCACAACCTTCTTTGCAAACACAGGGCCTTCTTGCCCCTGGTCTCGGTTCGCACTGTGCGACCAGCCTGACAGCTGTGACGGAAGGGGCAGCCACTGCGACGGCAGACATAGCCATCATCATGCTGCACGTCGTACTGGTGCCGAAAGTTAAGCTTCCGGGGAATTGACGGCATGGGTGTGTACTAGACATCCGTGCAACCCATGAATGGCAAGGGTTGTCGAGTCGTGCTTCTTTGGCGTTCATGCTAACGAAGCACACAAGCGTTCACCAGATTGACTGAACATGACTGAACTCCTTCTTCGCCCCCATGACTCTACTGGCTTCTGCGACAACTATCCGTCATGATGCAAGCAATGCCATGCCACTCCGTCCGTCAGTCCCACGTCTGCCTGCCTATTTGTTGTGTTTCACGCAACGCTGAAGAAACAAAGAAACTCTCCAACCCAAAGTACTACTGTCGTTGTACTGCTACAACGCGGCACAAGTCCCCAAAAAACTCTTGTAGCTTGCTTGCAGGAAGCGATTTCCACCGCGGCCATACCGTCCTGCAGGAGCACAAGCTCCTTACTTTTCGGTCCATCGTGCAAAACCTCAGAGGAGAGCCCGGGATTGGCTTCGGGACTTCGGCTTTCCAGGATCCCATGCAAAGTGTTGTGAATCTCACAGCAACAACCGAAACGGCTTTAGGGTTTAGGGCACGATAGCCCAGAAGGAGAGGAACAGCAGCCAGCGGAAAGCATCTTGGCACACCAATGAGGTAAGCTGCTATCTCGCCAGGGAAATAAACCCTCCGCAGCATGTGCTCGTCGAAGGCTTCAAGCCTCAAGCCGTGCAGAGCTTGCATGGCGTTGTCGATGAATACGGGTGGCTCTCCGGCCGCTCTCTTACAACGAAATGCCGGCCTCAAGCATGATCAAATCGTCTGCTTGTCTAACGAAAGAGGAAGAGAAGGGAGCGACAAGTGATGATTATAAGCACAACTTGCATATACATGCAGCATGCAGCTAATCTATCTGTATACATGTACTTAATCGTACACACTCCAGCATGTACGTATGTACATGCATACATACAACAGTCATACACTTGCTCACATATAACTACACGTACAGACACATGTCCCCCAGAGCTCTTTCCCGCTGAGCTGCATCTTCTGCGAGAGCCCCGTAAAGATGTCGCAGGTGTGCGTCCGGGTTCCGGAAAACAGCTGGTCCATCGCGAGGTCGAAGAAAGTCCTTAAGTTTTACTAGTATTGTAGGAACCTGATTGAGAAACCCTGGCCCTACAAGCCCAAAATGTTAGGGTCCATACCAAGAACTCCAATAAAGACCCAGGGTTTGTCAATCAGGTTCCCATACTAGGGGAGGGCCGTTGCGGCCGAGAGTTGTGATGCTTGCGAGGAGTTAGAATACGACAGAGATCACACGGCCTGAAAGCAAGAATGCTCACGCTTCTGCGCTGAGCTCCTTGGGGCACCCCGTCCATGGGACCAGAGCAGCGACGGGCAAACAACAACAGAAAGCAGATCAAGCAATTAAGCATGACAGAAATGCCAACTACACCAAGCAACACGCTTCGCTGACAAATTTTCAACTTCGGAATAAATTTGGCCAAGGCAATATCGTGCATCATGTTCGAGAGGCACTATGCTTCAACAACGTAGCGCCATCTGTCGATTCGCGGTCGCTGCTTGCGAATGCCACTGCGCGAGCATTACATGCCAATGTTGGAGGTATTCGGCGGCTCTAAACAACATCCAGGCACATCTCACAATCCGACGCTTCAAGCTTCACATGATTGCCTGCCTATCCGAAGCAGGGGGAGCGGTCGGTGGGCTAACTGTGCATGTCAGCAGACAGCTTCTGCCCAGCAACTGCTGTGCCAGCCATGTGAACCAAAAGACGTCGGAATCAAGGCTTCACTGGTCACCTTACCAACCGCCAGAGACCTAGCCGTCGAACCCGAAATTCCACCAACCGACCATGAAAGCCCTAACACCTTCTCAAACCTCAAAGACCAGCACCCGACAGACCCTAAAAGCTCCGAAGCTCTTTATTGTACTATACAATACTATACTGTACTGTACTATACTAGACTAGACTATACTATATCATACTATATTATACTATACTATACTAGACTATACTAGACTCTACTATATTATACTATATTATA